CTTTCATTTCAATTAAAAAAACCCTAAATAAAAAGCTGAGACGTCTGTTCACGTTCAGTTTCCAGTTAGTCAGGGGGTATTCACCAAACATCGCTTTTTTTAAACTATATGCTAGGCCTGGAGGCAAAACGACGCCTTTTCCCGTTCTGCCGACAGCTAGAAACGTCTAAAAGCTGGAAAAAGCCGTCACAAAATCTCCGACGTTTTTGTAGGGGCGCCGTGTTTTTTTCGATGAAGAGCGGAGAGAGGGAAAAACTCACACAGCGCAAATGTGAAATATGAGAAAGACGAACGGCACCCGAGAGGAGCCGTGTCACATCTGGCCCGATGTGGGATGGGGGTTTTGGTTTCGCTAGCAGTGAAGTGAATGCACAAAAATGTAGGAGTAAGACCGGAGAGCAGGGCAGTTTTTATGCAGAGACCTGATGTGGAACAGAGCAAACCCACAAGAGCTTCAGTTGGGATTGGAGTGCCAATCTGATAATTAAGGCAGTAACTCTGCTCTAAAAACACTGAACGTACCCCATCAAACATGCTTCATAGGGATGCTCACTCGTCCTTTTGGGTTTAAATCTGTTTCTGCTGACTTTTCGGAGTCCTCCAGGACATTTTAGGCCGCTAAAGTGTCAAATCTTTCAACGGCTGGAGCTCACAATTGAGCCCTCATGAGGCTTATGGATGGTATTTGACTCTATTTAATTCTTTTTTTTCTTTTTTTCCCTTTTCTTTTTTCCCCTTTTTTTCTTTTTTTTCTTTTTTTTCCTTTTTTTCTTTTTTTACCCTTTTTTTCTTTTTTTTCTCCTTTTTTTCTTCTTCTTTTTTTCTCTTTTTTCCACTTTAATTTAATTAAAAAAGGGGACCTTAATCACATATTGTCAGTAAAAACTGAATAAAAACTCACATCTGGGCTGTTTTTCATCAGGAGAATACTTAGTTTTGGTCTAACTGCTTGAAACTTTAAAAAGGTTTACTGATTAGGATTTCATGGACTCTCCTTGGGAATCTTTTCCTTTCCCAGATTTCTGGTCTCCACCGGCTGAACGTTGATGCCTGGGCCTGATGAACGGAATCCGCAGGAGAAAATGAACTGAATCCGTCAGCCTACCATTACCTAAGGTTAGAAGCTGAAACACCACCCACCGGGGCACCATTTTCCTCTGATCAATCCTCTGAATATAGACCCTCTGGGTAGGACTCCATCGGCTCCCACTCGGTCAAATGGCCCGGCTAACACAAACAGAGATGGAAAATATCCGACTTATTCGACTAAAAACGGGAAGAACCTACCACAGGTCGGACAGAGAACCTCCCTCCTCGATGAAAGCCCGTCATAACGGAGCAGATAAAGTGCTGAGACGGCTCCCGATGACACCATTACACCAAACGGAGAGGAGGGAAAAGGCGGGAGAAAGGAACTCAGACAAATGGATGGACGGGAGTATGTGTGTGTGTGTGTGTGTGTGTGTGTGTGTGTGTGTGTGTATACGCAATTTGGTATGGCAGGTTTAGATGAACCTGTAATTTGTCAGAGGCCGAGAGGGTGTTAAGAAAAAAGGGCGGTACGGATGGGAAGAGGTAGGCCTGCTGGCAGCTGCCTCTTAGTCAGCAGAGGCTGATGAAAAATCAGAGTGGACGAAAAAAAAAAAGAATCCGGCGCTCACGGGGAGGCAAGCCTGACCCCTACAGGACGGACGTTTGACGCATATAAACCAGCCTGCATTTTTATTTTTTTACCTTGTCCTGTTCAGCATTATGGTAGTAGAACTATAAATCTGAGTATTGTGCTATGCTGAGCAAAATTGCTTTGCCAAAGGAAGCTTTGTTAGTGAGAAGCCCCCCTCGATTACCCAAAACTTCTTTATTTATTCATTTTTGTTACCAAACTTCCATATGTCCAATAATACCGAACCTGACAGAGGGAGGGAGGGAAGGGTAGTGGAAAGGAGAAAGATCCTTTAGAAAGGGAGAGAGGGGGGAGAGAAAAAACAAAAACAAAAAAAATAAAAAAAAAAGAAGGAGAAAGAAAGACAACAAGACCAGATGACCAGCTGTTATGTCTGCAAAAAGGACACTGTTCCTGCATTTTAAAACCCTCAAAATACTTTTTTTTTTTTCATTTATCAGAGCAGGTCTAAGCAAAATGACCCTCATTTTCCAATCTTTTCTGCTCTCAGAGCTTGAAGCTTATGAAGTATTTTTGGCACAAAGGGTTAGGAGCCTTTAAGAAATCAGGATATTGGACTCACGGGTCATAATAATTTTAAATGTCTATTCCTTTGGCTGGTTACATGTGACACCAAATTCACTTTTTTAGGAGTTTGTTCTGACTGGAAATGCACAGAAACTATTGTCTGGGTGGATTTCTTTCACAAAACATAGAGTTTTCCTTGAATTTTTTTAATTAAAATATTCATTTTCATCCCTGAAAATCTTTTAAAACCCTTTTAAAGACCCACTTTTACTCTCAGGCCTTTGAGTGAGACTTCGACTTTATTTTAGTTGTCTTAATTTCCCTCTCTTACTTGGTTTTGTTTTTTATTTTTTGCTCTTTCTGTTTTTAATCTTTGAGTTTGTCTTGTGGAGGTGATAATTGTGTTTTATGATCTGCTCAAATGACCTGTACAGCGCTTTGATTTTAGCTTTGGCTGACTGAAAGCGCTTTTATAAATAAAGTTGAGTTGAGTTGAGTTGAGTTGAGTTGAGTTGAGTTGAGTTGAG